AATGAACATCATATTGGACTACATAATGTGAATCTAAATTTTAAAATGTTCCTGTGTAGCTATTCAACCTTGCCACTGCTTAACAGATTTTCCTGAAGTAGAATTAACTACAGCAGAATTTGCTATTCATGAATGCTTCTTGAAGTGGCAAGTGATTAACAAATCTTTATTATACTGTCAAGCTTTGTCCACATTTAAAAGATAGAGTATTGGTTCCTGCTTTCATGGAACCATTGAGGAAGGGAGCTTGAAGGGTTAAAGATTGATATACTTCCAAGACAAAAATACAAGAGATCCTATAAAGCCTAAGTGATAGAATGCAAAAAATAAATAAATATATAAAAAGGACAGGATTATCATCATTTTATGCTTTTGATCAGGTATGTCAGTTCTACACTATGTAGATTCCATTGTCCCTTGGCACTTGCTCTGACACCTCTGGCTACCCTATTACAAAGAATCCAGCAAGTCTCAGACATCAGAATTCAAGTTCCCCAATAGTCAATAAATAAGCTTCAGGATCCAGGATGACAATTTTCCAATTTCTGATTATACAAAAACCTTAATTATGACATCAACAAATAGGAAGGTAGCATCAGTCAAGGCAACCAGATTACTATGACAATATTCTATGAACCCATATGCTACCTCTCTCAATCCCTATAGCCAATAACTTGAACAAAGTGCTGTGAACAATCCAAGGTAAGATCCAACTAAGTGACAAGAGGATGAAAACCCAGGACTGTTATTACTGGTGCACACTGCTCATTCCAGCCATTTGGGAAGCAGGGGCAGAAAGACCTGTGAGCTCATTTCTACATAACCAATTCCAAGACAGCCATGGCTACATGGTAAGACCCTGTCACAAAGAGGAAAGGGGGGAGAGGAGGGAAAGAAGGGTAGGAAGGAGGGAGGGAGGGAGGAAGGGAGGAAGGGAGGGAGGGAGGGAGGAGGATCCTCAAAGAACGCAATTACTTTATTTAGAGCTGACAAGCATCAGCTATTATGTGCTAAATTCCTAAGACTACAGACATAAAAGGGATCAGATTAGGAAAACATACCAGGTAAATTTAGGAGTCCTTTGCCTTAGCTAGTCACCTTGTCCCAATCAAGCTAAAAAATAATTGTTGTTGTTAAGACAGGGTCTCACTATGTAGCTCTGGCTGTCCTTGAACTCACTCTGTAGACCAGACAGGCCTCAAACTCAGAGATCCGCATGACTCTGCCTCCCAAGTGCTGGGATTAAAGTTTTGCTCCACCATGGCCAGCTTCAATCTGGTAAAATTTAAAAAATCTATTTTAAAAGGAATCTGAGCAAAATGGCTAAATTCTAAATTTGGAAAATATGTATGAAAGTCAAACTAAGTATTTCTCTAGGCTGTGGTGGTGCATTCCTTTAATCCCAGCACTCAGGAGGCAGCAGCAGGAAGATCTCTGTTTGAGGCCAGCCTGGTCTACAGCACGAGTTCCAGGACAACCAGGGCTGTCACACAGAGAAACCCTGTCTGGAAAAAAAAAACAAAAAAACAAAAAAAGGAGTTCTTAGGGTTGAAAAGACGGCTCAGCAGTTAAAAGAGTCCAGACGACCCAGGATCCAGCCCCAGCACCCACATGGTGGCTCAAAATTATATAACTCCAGTTTCAGAGGAACTAATGCCATCTTCTGGCCTCTTCAGACACCAGGCATGCATGTGATATACAGACATACATGTCAGGCAAAACACCCATACATATAAAAATAAATATATATATAAAAAGAACTGTTTTAAAGAAAGTGTTCTTAAAATATCTTGGAATCCTACTTGGTGACTTCTGACTATTTTAAAAAGAACTAGTAGGAAGGGGAGGGGAAGCAAATGGGAAAGAAGGCATCCCAGTGTGAAGAGCATCACACTGAGCTGTACTGATGAATATTAGCAACAGCAGAATGAAGGCCCTGCCTCCCTGACAGCTCAAGCACAGCTCCCTGGCTATGTGCTTCCAGACTCCAACATCATCTATCTCAGTATACTATCAGAAACTGTTGTGTACAGAAGGAAGTTGAGAAGCAGACAGAAAACATGGCAGCCAAGCAAGGCATAGTGGAACACACCTGCAGTCCTAGCACTCAGGAGACCCAGGCAGGAAAATCTCAAATTTGATGTCAGCCTGGGCCATACAGCCAAAAACATAAAACACATACAAACAATGTGGGCAGTGTTGGCAGACACATTTGATCCCAGAACCTGTGAAGCAGAGGCAGGCAGATAGCTGAGAAAGAGGCCAGCCTGGTCTACAGAGCAAGTTCCAAGAAAGCCAAACCAAAATGATGATTGATTGATTGATTGATTGACAATTATAACCTCAGCTTTAAATTTCATATCCTCTAATAAGAAACTGATAGACTGCCCTAACTTGATTTTATTGCATATAAAAATTACTCCATTGCTATCAAGTGATCAAATCCCACATTACATGTGCACAGTATGGATTGTTTTTAAAATACAGCTCTGACTGCAGCATAAGTAATCTCTTCTTCAGCAATAATAATAATACCCTCTGTAGTAAGATATGGAAATCTTATCTAAAAATACTAAGTTAATGAACACATTTATTCACTTACACTGTGTATTTAAGTTATTTTGAAAAGAACTAACTTCTGCTGTCAAAATGGTCAGGAAATAAACTTTGTGCAAAGATACAGAAATAAAAAACATACCAAAGTGTCCTTCAAAGACTATGCTATGAGCCGGGCGTTGGTGGCCCACGCCTTTAATCCCAGCACTCGGGAGGCAGAGGCAGGCAGATCTCTGTGAGTTCGAGACCAGCCTGGTCAACAGAGCTAGTTCCAGGACAGCCTCCAAAGCCACAGAGAAACCCTATCTCGAAAAAACAAAAAAACAACAACAAAAAAAAAGACTATGCTATGAAACCAGAGAGATAGCTCATTTGTTAAAAGCAAGAACTACTCTTGCAGAAGACCCTGATTTGGTTCTCAGCACCCCACATCCGGCAACTTGAAAGCACCTATTTAATACAACTTCAGCTCCAGTCTATCAGAAATGGCCTAGACAGGCACCTGCATTCACATGCACACACCCACAACACAAACACAATAAAAATAAATCTTCCTCAAAATGCTATTTCCCGAAAAAATTATCACACAAAAGGTCAAGATTTAACCTTAACTGAAACAGAAGGGGTCAGTTCCCCATGCTAATCAGAAGACAAAGGAATGAAAACCTGGTGCACGAGTCTAAGGCAGTGGTTGAGGCTCAGACCAGGCATAAAAAACATTTTCCCCACTGCTGAAGACACAGAGTGAATACCAAAAATACCAATCTCTCTTACATACAAACCTGCTTTTTCCAAATACTTGAAGTGTAGTAAAAGTTAACCAGCTCTCCTGCCAAAACCAAATACAATCCCAAGTGTGTGGATTTTAATCTTTATTTTTAGTCTTAAATCACGCCTGTATCTTAAGACAGCTCATCTTCAAAAGGTCATAACAAATAATAATGTCTTAATACAGATAAAAATGTTAAAGCAATCATATGGCCCATCTGCTTTCCAACTGGTGCTCTACAGTTCCGTTTTTGGCCTCAGATGACGAAACTTCTCTAACGTCTCTGGGGAGAGTGTAAAGTATAACGTTTCCTGAAATTGTTCTTGTTTTTGCTGCACCATTTTCGTGACATCTCTTCAACTAGAAATGTTACTTGCAGTTTTATTGTTCTGCAGGAGAGGTCAGAGGGACACGCAAAGGCAAAAGCAGAGAGTATTGTACGGAAAGCAGGTTGAAAGAGACAGTGGGGGGCGGGGGGGGGGGGATGCGCAAGAATGAAAAACATTTCCAGCACAGAGAAGCGCCAACAACGGGATCTTGCTTATTCTTCTAGAAACAAAAGCCAAAAATTCTTCTAAGGAAAATGTGGTTTCTCTCTTTACTCAAGAGGGTGTTAAAACTCCAAAAGGCGTTCCACTGACACTCTACAAGAGTTCTACCCCTTCTCCCTATGTGCTTTAACACCGCTAACCTTATCTGTAAATTAAACGCCAGCTATAGATAATGCAATCTCTAGAAACTACAACTGTGGTTGCTGCCATCTTTGCCTGAAAAAAAATTTTTTTCTTGGATTTCGAAGGGGAAAAAAGGAGTACATTAAGTTGGAAGGCAAGAAAACCACTATCAAGTCAGATTGATAGGGCACGGGTTAACAGGCGCCTTCTACCAAACTAAGGTTTTAAAGGTCTGGGGAAGAAGGGCAAAGCCTTACCGAGTCCGCAAGGGTGGGGCATCCTAAGGAAAAATATATATATTAAGAGCGAGTTTCTCCCGAGGCCGAGGAGCAGGCTCGCACCCTGGGTGGCACAGGACGCTGGGGACGCGGGCGAAGGGCGGCTTCGAAAGAGAGGTGGGGTGCCAGGGACTGCCCCGCGGAGTGCGGGCTGACAGAAGGAGGCACCCACGGGGCACGGGATGAAGATCCAAGAGGAGCTAGCAGGGGCCGTGCGTTCCGAGGCTGCGCGTGGGAGGCCGGGCAGAGGCCCCGGAGGGCCGTGGGCAAGCGGCCGTCCTCGGCGAGGCGCTCCCCGGCTGCCCCACGCTCTGCCGGTCTCGGGCCGCCCGGACCGCAGGCGACGGCGGCGGGCACAGCTGTTTCCACCCCGCCGGGGAGCGCAGGGGGGGGGGGAGAGGAAAGCATCTCCCCCGGGGCCTGGGAGCCAAGCAGCGGCCGTCCTCGAGCGGGGGCGCGGAGCCGAGCCCCCACCGCGGAGCGCACGCCGAACTTCGCCCTTTCTTCCCCTCAGCCGCCTTTATGCCACAACTTCGCGGCCGCCACTGGCCGCGGCCACCGGCCGACACCCCCGCTCCGCTCGCCGACCGGTGATCCCCCACGCCCCGAGGTCAGGGAAGGCCTCCCGGAGCCGGGGCCACGGCCCCGGACGCCGCCCCCGCGCCGACGCTCGCCCCGTCTCGGCGGCCCCCACGCCCGCCCCGCTGCAGCAGCTCCGCTCACCTGCATTGACGCCATGATGAAACCATCCCCCCAAGGCCAGCGAGGCCAGAGACGCAGGGGGCGGAGCCGCCGTGCTCGCGTCACGCCGCGGGGGCCCAACATCCCGGGCACGGGGGTGGAGTCGCCGATGGGAAGGGGCCCGCGCGTCCGATTGGCTGGCGCGCGGGCGCCCAGGGGCGGGGCGTGGTGGGGCGGGGCGGGGCGCCCTGGGTACCTCGCATCCCAGCCAGTTTACACGCTGGCCCACCCTCGGTACTGGCTGAGGCGCAGCTCAGGTTCGAACCGCAGCCGTATGCCCGAGATCACCAAGCTGTCTAGATGCGCGAGTTTTTTGGTTCTTTTTTCTTTTGGTCACATTCTGTTTTCCTAGCTACAGGTGTAAGATTTGTAGTTTTTTAAATCCCCCTTCGTATGTCTTTTCTGCACCCACTGCTCTTCTTCTGAGTTAGATAAAACTTCGTCTGGGACCGGGCGTTGGTGGCACACGCCTTTAATCCCAGCACTCGGGAGGCAGAGGCAGGCGGATCTCTGTGAGTTCGAGACCAGCCTGGTCTACAGAGTGAGTTCCAGGACAGCCTCCAAAGCCACAAAGAAACCCTGTCTCGAAAAACAAACAAACAAACAAAAAAAAAAAACTTCGCCTGGGGGGGATGCTTTCTCGTCTTTGCAGACCCGGGTGGTTTTTTCTAATTTGGGGGGAGGGAGGAGGCAGAGTCATAAGTTTCCTTATAGGACAGAATGAAAACTGAGAACAGGGAAATGTGCTGGGAAGGGAAGAGAAAGAGTAATGTTTTCTTTTGCGTGCGACATTCTAGCTCCCTTACCCAAACTTGTAAATTGTAAACTCCATGTGTATCATAGTAGTCATTGTTCCATCATGAGTCTAATTTGATGAGCCAGTTGACTCTAGCCACGAATTCTCAATATAGTAGCTCACGTTCTGCCATGCCTACATTTCTCTTCAGCCAATTCTGTGGTGGGCAGTTTCTTGATCAGCGAACCTATGAATGAGTTTGGGCAGGAAACGCTGAGCATACAGAATTTATTCTGGGAATGCACCAGTTCTGCCAACATTTATCAGACGTCACATTTCTAAAGCTCTTCCGGAACCAAAGATGTCTTTTGGTTTATAAGAGGAAAATGGAAGGCAAAAGCTTGCACCTCGTCTCTTGTCTCTGAAAGAATCAAGGAGGCTGACATGTTGAGTAGATGGCGTTTGCTTTACCCGAAAGTTTAAATCTTTATTTTTATTGACTTGCCTTCTTTTTTAGACATTTCTCTACGATAGATATAAATATAATGGCAATGTAGAATATCACTCTTCACACTTAAGATAGATCACGATGTTCTCTGGGAACATCCGCAAGGAAATGTGTTCACAAAAGGAAAGATCTTTAAAATATGCCAGCTATTCTATAGCATAATACTCAACACAGTTTATCTTCACCAAAGAGGAACCTTTTTTGGTATTCTTCCACCTCTAAGATGCCACTCTATTACCAGGAATGCTTTTATCCTCCCCCCTTCTATGTAAAATGTGGTATTGAGGGCGTTTGCATGACTTGGAAATCAAGAATCAGCCAAGCACTTTGGACATCAGGTCAGTTGTGCTGTCACCATTACAACATAGAATAAAGCCCACATAGCCCAGAGAAAGAGGTAAGCTTATAGCAAAGGCTGTCAACTCTTCCTTCCAGAAATCTTTGTCCCTATGACCTCAGCTTTTTGCCAGCTAATGTTCGTTTTGTTTAAAAGCTGATTCCTCCTAAAGGTGTAACTGACAAAAGATGAGTCCACACCTGGGCTGTAGTGGCGCATGCCTATAATCCCGACACTCCACACCTGGGCTGTAGTGGCGCATGCCTTTAATCCTGGCACTTGGGAGGCAGAGGTAGGCAGATCTCTGTGAATTTGAAGCCAGCCTGGTCTACAGAGCAAATTCCAGGACAGCCAGGGCTACATGGAGAAACCCTGTCTCAGAAAACAAACAAAAAACCTCCACAAAGTAAGCATTATGACCTCATCGGAGCAAATAGCCTGCCAAGTAAGGTACTCCGAAGGGAGAAAAGTGGTTACAGGAATTTTGGTAAGTACTAACTTCTGGTCTCAGCCTCACATATGTTCAAAGGATTTTCACAGGAGACAAAAAAAATCAGTAATAGTCACATCTTAGGAAATTCTAAGCAGCTTATACTTATCTGTCATCTTTATTATTTCATTAATACATAATAGAGGGCTGGGATGTGTATAGTTCATTGGGAAAGCCTGTGGTTAACACGCAGGAGACCTGGATTTGATCTACCAGCACTGAAAGCAAAACAAAAGCCAAAAGTATGCAATAGGATGTTCCTGACATGCTTGGGAGCCAAGAATGTGATTTTCAGGTATGGTAGAGGCACATTATATTTCGTGTGAGTACAAAGTGTTTTCTGAAACTCTTGACTGCCCAGTATTTGATGAAAATGCTCAAATGTCTTCTCAGAATGTGACTTTCTAGTAGACAGGCAACAAAATGTCTGGCAGTAACCAAAAAGGGAAGAAGAAATGAACCTCAAACTGTAGGATTGGAATTGACACAACTACATTGGAAAATGGCTCAGCTACAATGAAGTCAAAGTTGCAGAATCCTTTAAAAAGCAACATTTGCAATTAAACACAAGTAGTGCTAAATGCAATATGTTAATTCCACTTGGATAGCGATTCAAACAAATTGTAAAACACATCTTTAAGACAACTGGAGCAAAGTAAAAACAGAGTGGGTATTAAGGAATTGTCATTTAGCCCAGTAGGTCATGTCACATGCCTTTAATCCCAGCACCCAGGAGGCAGAGGCAGACAGATCTTGGTGAGTTTGAGGTCAGCCTGGTCTACCAAGTTAGTTCCAGAACAGCCAGGGCTATACACAGAGAGAAAAACTCTGTCTCAAAAAACCAAAAAACAAAACAACAAGATGTAATATATATAATATATAAGATGTAATAATGGTATTTGGTTTTTAATGTCTGCATCAGGTAGAAATGACTATCAGCTGGTAAGTAGGGGCAGTTTTCCCTCATCTCCATCTCTCATAAGAAAACTGGAGATGATACAGGTGGCTGGGTGTCTGAAGTCTCCCCTCCCAGGGCAAGGGGAAACCTGAGATAATGAGGACCCACAAAGACCACCGGGTCATTGCTGCAACATTTATAATGCAAGGTTCTATAGATGCTTTTGGTCTACTGATTCACTAGACCAGAATGTGAGAAGCAGTCTGCCGAGGCTTTACTTACTGGAGTATGAAGAGGCAGAGTACTGGCAAGGGTCTTCTAGCTCTCTCCAAGGAGCCGTTCATGGTTGGACTCACCAGAGAAATGAAGACATTCAACAACAGCTTACTTATTAGAGGTTAGAAAAGGCATTAAGTGAGAATTCAGGTTTGCATTCTCACCCTAGCCCTGTCATTAGCAATAATAGAGAAGGCTTGTCAGTCTGTTTCCTTAACAGTAAGCCAAATTGGGGAACCTTCATTGTTTTGTCTCGATCTCAAATTTCGTAGAGCTAATCAAGAAAACTGTAGGAGCTGCAGAGGTGGCACCCTGTTTAAGAGCCCTGACTGCTCTTCCAGAAGACCCAGTTCAATTCCCAGCACCCACATGGCAGCCCACAACTGTCTGTAATTCCAGTTCTGGGGAAGCCGACTCCCATGGCAAAACAATAATGTACATAAAATAAAAATTAAAAACTAAGAAAACTGGCTAGGTGGTGGTGCTTTTCACCTTTAATCCCAGCACTTGGGAGGCAGAGGCAGGTGAATCTCTGTGAGTTTGAGGCCAGCCTGGTCTACAGAGAGAGTTCCAGGACAGCCTCCAAAGCTGCAGAGAAACCCTGTCTCGGAAAAAAAAAAAAAGAGGAAGGAAGGAAGGAAGGAAGGAAAAGCAGTAATTTTATTTTATTTTACTTTTGTTTTTTTGATATAGGGTTTCTCTCTTGTAGCCCCAGCTCTCCTAGAATTTGCTCTGTAAACCAAGCTTGCCTCAAACTCAGAGATCCGCCTACCTCTGTCCCCTTAGTGCTGGGATTACATGTGTGTGACACCACATCTGGCTTTTGAAAACTGAAATTTTAAATGATTTTAAAGACCAGTCTAAGGGCAAGGAGCACAGTTCAGTGATGAAGTACTCAAGACTTGGGGTTCCATTTTCAGCCCTGAAAAAACAAGCCCAATAACCAAAAACTCTAAGATAAAACTGGATCGTTGTCATTGTCATTTTGATCTTTAAATCACATTTTTAAATACATTAAGGAATTGACTTCCTTGTAATTTATGTAGCAATTACATATCTGGAGTTTTATTGGTTCTCTGCAAACAGCCAACACTAGTTCAAGGAAATAGTCAAAATTCAAACTTCAGTTTCTACTGCATATGTATTACTTTCCTAGTATCATAAAATACAAAACTTAGTAGTTGATACACAGCAGGGACTGTCTGGACTTTATTCTTTTCCCTGAGCCTGAGGACGGCCCAGGTCTGTAATCCTCATGTGCAATCTGTGTTTATTTCTCTCCTGAATTTCTTCAGATATACTCTTGAAGGATGTGGTTCTTCTTTTTTTTTTTCTATAAACCCCTTTAAAAATCAATGCAGTGCTTTTCATTAGATTGCTGCCATCATGGACATCAGCCTCATGCAGTTAGTCCATCAAGCTAGGGTACCAAAGGGCCAGTTCACAAGGACAGTGCCCACTGGTGTACATGCAATTGATGAATGACACCAGCCCCTGTAATCAGCAACATGAAAGGCCATATGTGAGACAGTGATGTGCTCGCCTATTGCTTGGCAGTTGTGCTGACCCTTACTGCTGGGTCCTGGATTCCACCACTTGGCCCATGAAATGACCAACTGTTAAAAAGCATTTGTATCTCGTGTTAAAAAAAATCAAATGAGGTAAATATATATGCTCATACCCACAGATAAGTGAACTCTTTATGCATCATCAAGGAAGTTATAATCTTTGCAACAAAGACCATTGCAGAAAAGTACAACCAATCAAAATGCAGAATTGTACAGCCTAGCCCCAAATGAGTCAGCTACAACAGAACTTCATCACCCAAGATCCACGGAGTTTTGCTGAAGAGAAGGTG